ATCCACAATATCCACACTGACCGCCACAAATATCCAGCGCCCGCTCCATCAGCTCCCGCGTCTCACTCACTCACTCACTACTCACTCACTCACTCACTCACTCACTCACTCACACACACACACACACACACACACACACCCACTCACTCACTCACGCACTCACACACTCACTCACTCACTCACTCACACACACACTCACTCCCTCACTCACTCTCTCACTCACTCACTCACACACACACTCACACACACTCACTCACTCACACTCTCACACACACACTCACTCTCTCACACACACTCACACACACTCACACACATTTGACAATATTCACTCATCATGACAGTAAAATAGAGCATTCTAAGTCAATATACTGCAGTATTTCCTCTCTATCAGTACAAAAAATGGTTAACACCCGCTCATGCATGAAAAAAAAAATACCGTCATGTACCGTTAAACCGGTATAATTTTGGAAAATACCGGGATATACATTTTTGGTCATAACGCCCAGCACTACGCATCAGCTTTAAATGGAAAATACCGTGATATACATTTTTGGTCATACCGCCCAGCACTACTTTAAATTCATTGATCAAAAAAGTTTCCAAATACATCATTTAACTTACAGTCTGCACATTCAAATATTCAATTTAATGTCAAAGAACAAAATAAACAAAGTAAGCTTTTTTCACAAAATCTGTGATTTCCGTGGCTGCTTGGATGCAGCAGAAAACATCACTTTCTTCTGTTACTGGCTGTAACTCGGATCTTAAACCCAGGATGGTTTCAACATGTGAAAATGAGCTGTGAGTCGATCAGAGAGTTGTAGTCTGGCTCCGATCCAGACAGGAATCATGTGTTTGTGGTGTTTTTCTGACGACTATTGGAGAATACAAGACTTCTTCACCTTACTAAAAGCTATCAAAAGCAAAAGTGCTACAAAATGCATCACATTTTGTGAGAAAGTGTGATGTGAGAGAGCCAAACAGACACTATTTTAGAATTAGCTGCTCAAAATTAGTAAGAAGTTAGCAACAAGATGTTAACCTTTTTCTAGTTGTATTTATGTGAAAATATCTCATGATGCAATACTCAGTAATGATTTTCATTAGAATTCTCATTTTCTACTTTTAGATCTGATGAATTATTCTCTTTCATACTGTCCACTATATAAAATGAAATATTTTAAAATAAAATAAGATATAATAAAATAAAAATGTATAAAATAATATATATTTTTTAATTTAAAATAAAATATTTTACTTCTTTAGATTGCTTTTTTTTTTTTTTTTTACATAAAAACTAAACACCAGGGGTTTTTTTCATTGAATTGATCAAATACATTTTTGGCTAAATTGCATCATTTCACTCACTTTTTTTTATTTAAGCATATTGTAACACAAAGCTTAATTTAGTGTTAATTAAGCATCAGTAACTATGATATAAGCATGTGGAAAACAATGGGTCTATAATAAAGCTCTGTATCCATTTCTAAAGAAAAAAAAACTTTTCGTTTGGTTTGGTTTGTATGGAAAATATTTATCATGGCCACAAATTAAGAATTCATTCCCAATTCATTTACTCATTCATTCCTTCGTTTTAGTAAATCATGGCCACATTGTAATAGTTTTTTCCTTTGTTTTCATTTAAAGGGACAGTTCATCCAAAAATGAATCCTGTCATCATTTACTCTCCCTCATGCCATTCCAAACCTGCACGAGTTTCTTTCTTCTGCGGAACACAAAAGAAGATGTTTTAAAGAATGTTGATAACCAAACAGTTGACGGCACCCATTGACTTCCATTGTACTTTATTCCATACTATGTAAATCAGTGGGGACGAGCAACTGTCTGGTTACCAGCATTCTTCATTTGTGCACAAATTAGTACCACAATTAATATATCTTAATATATTGGCCTGACAAACACCTGTACTGTACATTTGTCTTGTCAAAGCATTTTGAGCATAAGTAAGTGCAATAAATTGCCGCTATTTTCCTGAATAGTCCAACTTTGCATTAGAGCTGTCGCAATTCGTCGATTTTATTCGACTATTAAATTTTTTAAAAATCCTCGACATCATTTTGCTCGTGCGTCGACTAACCGGCAAAATACCGGAAGTGGCGCATTTCACGGACGAGAATCCATAAAACACATTATTAGACTGTTTCCCAAGGCTGCATGATATATTAAACCTAAATATAATTAAGCATAATTGTGAATTCACAAACGATTTAATTAAATAATTATATGCGATGCAGTTCTAATACAGTGCATGTGCTTTAATTATTTACATGCGTGTAGGTTAAGTACATGCGTCACAGTAGCTCCACAGGAGCTGTTATCATTTACACGCGTGTGGAGCGTCTCAAACTCCATCTCTGCATGTTGTTGTGAGTTTGGGTTTATTATAACGTTCATCTGGGAACGCAACGTGCGCCATTTCATCAGATTTGTAAGATAAATCATTTATAAAACTACGCAAACTCAAAATAAAAGCTCAAACGCTCACTCTGAGTTTATGTCCACATATTCTTTTCATTACAGTGGCTATAGCATTTCTGTCCTAAAGAAATGGCCAAATATTAAAGATTAAGTGGACATTTGAATGAAATGGTAATATTAAACAAGTATTAGATCGCACAGTAATGTGTAAAAACAATCGTCAGGCCGTTGGCGCCCCCTGCAGGCTTTTGTTGTCATGCGTAATGTACATTAGCTCTATTGTTGATAATACATTATGTATTTTAACAATTTTGTTCAATAAAACCATATGATTTCTTGCTTTTTGATACTTTATTTGAACTCATTATTATTGCCTCATTGCTATTATATATGTATTTTAAGTAATTTTAAAGGCTATTGTTCACTTACATCTATTTTTATTACCACAAAAAAAAATATTATAATTATAGGGCCCTATGAAATATTTTATTTCCAAATTCAGGTTTTTTTCCATTTTCATTTTTCTATACTCTTACTCTGTTTGAATGGTTAAATTAATGCTATTATATATGTATTTTAAGTAATTTTAAAGGCTATTGTTCACTTACATCTATTTTTATTACCACAAAAAAAAATATTATAATTATAGGGCCCTATGAAAGCCGTTTTATTTCCAAATTCAGGTTTTTTTCCATTTTCATTTTTCTATACTCTTACTCTGTTTTAATGGTTAAATTAAATTATATTAATCAAAAAGCCTGTCTAATTAATTGAGTTTTACAGTTTTATCTTTATTCTTTACCAAATTCTGTTTTCCATAATTTTTTTGATTCCATTTTAATGGTTCCATTAAACTTTAATAATCAAAAGCATCTCCTTTAAAAAGTGTTTTTTGATTACATTTGTATTATTAGTAGACTAGAACACGTGGATATGTTGTCTAGCACGATAATACTGAACTCTGATTTCAGTGATTTGGACGATGAGATGGACACTTGCTTCTTGCACTTTATGTTGCACTTTACTTTTTTACGTTTGGATTTCATTTGGTTTAATGAAATATAGTTTAATAAAATATTCTTAAGTAAAATTGGCGATTTTGTTTTTGTGGGAAATTAATCGTTTAGCCCAGGGGTAGGCAAGTTCGGTCCTAGAGAGCCGCAGTCCTGCAGAGTTCAGCTCCAACCCTGAAAACAAACCTCACCTGCCTATAGCCTTAGTAATCCTGAAGATATTGATTAGCTTGTTCAGGTGTGTTTGATTAGGGTCGGAGCTGAACTCTGCAGGACTGCGGCTCTCTAGGACCCAACTTGCCTACCCCTGCTTTAGATTAATCGTCGTTAGTGGCAGCCCTACTTTGCATACAAGTTGTGGCTGCTGGGTTTCTTTCAGGTCAGAGGAGTGTGTTATAGATGATTCTGGTTGTGTCTGTGTTTTGTTCAGGTGACAGTGTGGAGTCGTTCGACAGCGAGAGGAGGCCACACTTCCCGCAGTTCTCCTACTCGGCCAGCGGAACGGCATAAACCCACACAGCCGCTCTGAGACCCAGCACTGCACCGGTTTACCACGTTTACCACGTTTACTGCGTCTGGATCTGTGATGTTCATCCGTTCCACGTTGCTTCTGTGGCCTTTGATTTCATGTTTTCTGAGGATATGTGAGGGAACACTAACATCTCCACTCAAACTGCCAAATTAATACAGAACTGATTGTGTAGCACTTCTTTAATCTGGAAACTAACGGCTTGCCAAGTATTACTGTATTTACATTCAAAAACACCTGACCAATTGAAACGTACCGCAGAATAGCAGCTTTTATATGAATATCTAGAATGTCATTCTGCTACGTTTGTAATTATACACGATTTTCCTCGGCCGTCTCGACCCCCGAAGTATTTTCAGACTAAATTTCACTTGCATCTGTGATCATTTGCATCGAATGTGCAATATAGTAGAAATGTAGATAAATTATTTTTTGTAATGATTAAAATGACTGAATTCCACTTAACACACCAAATTAACTTATTAAAACCCCCACCAATATAGTAAAGGAGTGAAAGCTGTCTAGAACATTTCTGAATCATATTTCAATCAAAAAGAACAATAAGCAATTATATTTTGCTTTAAGAAAATAAAGCCTGTTTTTAGGACCAAAAACGATGGAATTTAAGTGATGAGAATCAGATGAGAAGAATGATAGGAACAAATCAAATGTATGCATGAGAATGAGAATTTAAAGATTATGAAATGATAGAATTTAGAGTTTAAATGCGTCACTAATCCTAATTTATGATATGATGCAATTTTATCAAATTGAGTCATTACAGTTTCTTTTAGTGAAAACAGTGGCTTTTTTTTTTTTGCATGTTACCTTTCCATTTTTGGCATTGAATAAATTATTTTGGGTTTCATAACTATTTTGCCATTTAAATACGGCATAAAAATATGGAAGCATGTTTCCGCCATGGGATAAAAAAAAAGGTTATTGCAACTTTTTATCTCATATATCTTTACGTCTTAATTCTGACTCTCTTTCTCACAATTCTGACTTTTATTCTCGTAATTTTGAGGGGGGGGGGGTCTGAATTTAAGATATAAACTCACAATTGCAAGAAAAATGTCAGAATTGTATGATAAAATGTTGCAATTACCTTTTTATTCTGTATCATTTATTCTGTATATTCTGTGGCCGAAACTAAAAAACATTTTTATTTTTTATTCCCTGGTGAAACAAGCTTCCATATAAAAGATATGAAATAGACATAATACATTTTAAATAAATATAATGGAGGATGCTACCGGGGCATGTTGTCACAAAAGCTCAACAAGCATAAAGGCTTAAATTGATTTTAAAAATAAATCCACCCTGACAAATGCAGGATTTAAATGTCCTATTGGTCCTTAATCAGGCTTGATTTTTCCTCTTTTCTATGTGAGCTGGATGTGTTTTCATGGCGCTCCCGTGTCTAAAGGAAAGATTTGGATTCTCTGTCTCATCGATCCTCGTCCTTTTTTCTTTTGGAGGTTTTTCACATGTGTTACACAACCTCAGCGAGGTACTTCAGTGACTGATCAACAGCTACGAGTTCAAGGGACCATCGAGGTGAAATAAACCTCGCAAGTGTTTGAAATGACTTTGTTTTTTAGCTTCGGTTCCTTCGTTATTTATAGATTAACAGCTGGAAATGAGGTTTGTGCTCCATACAAACACACACACTCTCTCTCTCACACACACACACACACACATAGACACAGACACAGACACACACACACAGACACACACAGACACAGACACTCACACACACACAGACACTCACACACACACACACACACACCCACACACACACAGACACACACACACACGTCTGGTTTGCTATCCTTGTAGGGACTCTCCATAGGCGTAATAGTTTTTATACTGTACAGGCCGTATATTCTATTGCCCTACACCAACCCTTCCCCTAAACCTACCCCTCACAGGAGACTTTCTGCATTTTTAGATTTAAAAAAAAAATTCTTCATGTGATTTATAAGCTTGTTTACCCGTGGGGACCTCAATTTAGGTCCCCACCGTGACACGAGTCTCCATGAGTCTGTGTGTAGTCAGGTTTAAGTGCCCACCAGAATAGGTACACACTCACTCACACTCACACACACACACATACACACACACACACTCGCACACACACTTGCACACACACACACACACACACACTCACTCACACACACACTTGCACACACACTCACACACACACACACACACACACACACACTCGCACACACACGTACACACACACACACACACACACACACACTCACTCACACACACACTTGCACACACACTCACACACACACACTCGCACACACACTCGCACACACACACACACTCACACACACTCACACACACACACACAGCATTTGTACATTCTAAGTGTTTTGAAGGTAATTTAAAGCAACATTTCTACACATCAGTGTAAATACCATGCAAATGTTGCGATGTAATCAGCACAACCATAAATATGATCTTTGTACAGATGTGAGAATCCGTTGGCAGGTTATTATTATTATTATTATTATTATTGTTGTGAAAGCTCTGATCATTGTTGATATGATGTGTAATAATCACCATACATACATGAATGTAAAGGCCTTTCCTCTCTGTTCACCTTATGACCTTATTTTATATGCAAAACAATTTTTTTCCTGTTTTTAGATCTGATGTTTCATATGAATTATGCTCTTTCATACTGTCCTCTTTTTTTAAACGGGAAGATATTTGACTTTTTTATCCTTTCATTTTGTTGTCTTTTTTAACACGTGAACTAAAGAACACCAGATTTAGGACACAAATAATATTCGATTTGTATACACTGTTCAGCTGTTTTTATGATTTAGACTTTTTTTCCATTGAATTGATCAAATAAAGTTTTGGCTAAATTGTATTGGTTGATTATTTCACAATAACTCAAACACAAAGTTTAATATTAGTTTCACAGCTGTTTTACTATTTAAATATTGCGCAATGATCATTAAATAGTCTATAATGCTTTTTAAATGCATAAATAGATGGATACTGGGGTATGTTGTCACAAAACTTCAACCATCTGCATATTTTCCCCAGAAACGGACCCGTCCTGACAAGCATTCATCTGTGGAAAGGGTGTGACAACTAGCCCCGGTTGCTCGGTGTGTTGTTGTGTTGCTCCTGCAGTCTGAAGCAGATGGTTGAGTCTGAGGGCCAGATGTTGGTTACAAACCCTCACAGCTGGACGGTGTGTAGGACAGCAGACAGAGGAAGCTGCGAGACTGCAGAAATACACACCTCCAGCCCAACAGAAGCAGAGGAGTCAGCGCTTTCTCCCGTCTCTGTGCTCCTCGCTGCAACACAAGCACACATCAGACCTGTTTCCAGCCATTTAAACACCACACCTCTGTCAGCACATGCAGACTAATGCATGACCATCACGCGCTGATAGTAGCAGAGCCTTTGAGTCTTACAAATGATTACAGAGAAGAACCACGTGGGCTGTTTGTACATAATGAGATCCAGGTCTTTAGTTTATTCATATGAAGCTCACCAAGGCTGCTTTAATTTGATCAAAAATACAGTAAACATTGTGAAATATTATTAGAATCTAAACCGCTGTTTTCTATGTGAATCTCTGTTAAACTGTAATGTATTTCTGTGATGCGCAGCTGTATTTTCAGCATCATTACTCCAGTCTTCAGTGTCACATGATCTTCAGAAATCAGTATAATATGCTGATTTGCTGCTCAATAAATATTTCTGATTATTAGTGGACACATTTATACTTATGAAAACATCAATATTAATAGAGATGAATAGAAAGTTCAAAAGAACAGCATTTATTGGAAATATTAATCTTTTGTAACATTATAAATGTCTTTACTGGCACTTTTGAACAATTTAATGCATCTTCAATTTAATGCAAAAAAATAAATAAAAAAATCTTACCCCAAACTTTTGAATGGTATTGTATCTCAGTTCAGCAGCACAATTGTTTTCAACATTGATAATAATCAGAAATGTTTCTGGAGCAGCAGATCAGCATATTATACTGATTTCTGAAGATCATGTGACACTGAAGACTGGAGGAATGATGCTGAAAATACAGCTGCGCATCACAGAAATAAATTATATGTTAACAGAGATTCACATAGAAAACAGCTGTTTTAGATTCTAATAATATTTCACAATTTTTACTGTATTTTTGATCAAATAAATGCACCGTTGGTGAGCAGAAGTGACTTCATTCAGAAACACTAAACAATCTTGATTATTCCAAATATTTGAGGTATACCTTTTTTACTGGATAATGTTTAAACATAAGGATTTTTTTACTTAATTTCTACCTGATAAAATAAATATATTTTTTGGCAATTTAATTAATTTACACGAGTTCTCCCCGTCTAGAAATTCAACAAAATTCGTTCACATAATCAGAAACTCCAAGACTGTTGAGATCCGGATTCTTGAATGAAAACAGCTGTTGAGGAATGTCTTATATATGTCAAATAAAATAAATAAATGACACAAAGTTTAAATAAAGTAAAAATCAGCAAACAATGTGGAACCAATTAAATAAGAAACGAATGTTTAAAAAAAACTTCCAAAATCAGATAAATGGCAAAAGTCAACAGGCTTTTCAAAATCCAAAATACTGCCAAACAGGCGCTTTTGCATCTAGTTCTGAAACTAAATCATCCGCGATCGTCTTGTCTGCCTCGCCTCACTCTTCTTCTCTCGCCTCACTCTTCTCGTCTGTCTCGCCTCACTCTTCTTGTCTGCCTCGCCTCACTCGTCTCGTCTTGTCTGTCTCGCCTCACTCTTCTCGTCTGTCTCGCCTC